GCAACTTCCTCATTAAACTCTCAGGCTTGCTACGAAGAAAGATATTACTCGCATGTTTACTGTAATGTACAGATAACACACACACATTTTCTCTCTCATATGTCTCTCAACTTGACCCACACATATATATATATACATATACATACACATGTACATGCACATAGGAAAACTAAGGCAAGAATGACCATATTAGATATCCTTCTCAAACATACTCACTGAATTGCAGGAGTCTAGTAGAAATTTATAATTATTGTATTTCTGTTTCAGCTAGCTGAGTGTACAAAAGACAAATAAGAATTTATCAGGTTTCTTGTTGTGTCTGTGTGTGTGTGTGAACTTCTAACTAGAATTAGATGTAAGCACTGTGTCTGACTCCTATATTTTGAGTTCCTGGGATTTGGGGTTTTAGGTAGGTGCTAGTAGAACATGAATTGCCCCGAAATACTACCTCTACCACACAACATCTGAGTTTATATCCTAACCCAAAAGTGACTAGCTGAGAAATCAAATATTTAAATGCCCTTAGCTTCTATTTCTTCATCAGTAAACTGTGTCAGGATATCAACTAAACATGCTGACTATAAGGCACCTCATATGTAGATATACCCTGAGATTGTTAATAAGTACTTGCTCATGAATTGATAAACTTGCCTTAGGAAAGGTCTGGACTTACTGCCAGCCATTACTTTCACAGACTTGCCTGTTTTACAGCTATATAGACAGGTGTTTGAGAATATAAGAAATTAAAACAGAAATAGGAAAGCTTTTTAGTCCATTTTGCTAATTAATATGTCAGAGCCCATAAAGAAGAACTCACTGGCTTCCTTCAGTACTGCATCCTCTTAAAAAGCTGGGTCAGCAAAGATCTCTGCAGACAGTCAATACATATTAAAACAGTTCCAAGCAGTAAATCAAAACAACTAAAAAAGAAGATGACACAGAAAAAAAAAGTAAAATTTATAACTCCTTTCTGACTGACTCTAGAAGAGCACTGAACTATTAGTTTAGTTGCCAGTTCAGTATACAGAAAGCAAAAATATGCCTGAACTCCCTCTCAGGCATATTTTGTTTCTGAATATTACCAAAATCAAAGTATAATTTAAAAAAATCAAATGCCAAATTTGATGTCATTTTCTGTGTCTTCTAATGTTCCCCTAGAATATTTAACTCATTTTAAAAAGTGGCTTTGTTGTTTAAAAAATATTTTTCTCTATTTTTCCCCCCTCCCTGCATTTCTAAGATTTGTTTAATTAGTTAGACAGGGAAAGAGGGTAAAGACATTTTTGGTTTCCCAAAAGAATACTAGAAATACAATAAGGCTTACTGAAACTGGTGTTTTTTTTTAAAGAAACTGAATAAAACGTATTTTAATTCTAATTTCCCAGTGTTGGGTCCACTGTTCCCTAGATATACATGTCCCCCTTCTGGGGAGGAGACCCTAAAAGATTATGAGCAGAATTACTGTGCTGTCTAATGAGATGGGATGCACTGTTAGGGGAGGCCCAATAGCAGGATGTTAGAGGAATCTCAAAAATCCTGGGTGGATTGTAGAAGGGGTGAGAGGAACATTACATTCTGGGCCAAAAATGTTAGAAAGATTTATCCTACCTGGGCCTCTGATTTAATCAGATTTCCAAGGAATAAACCACTTAAAGATTAAGCCAAGGAAAAAGGAAAAGGTGCCAAAAACCTTGTCACAAATTTGGGAGGTGCCCAAACCAGACAAACAGATGGAACTTGGCACAAAATGGCCCTCTACACACTAAGTAGCTGACTCAGAGGAAATTTCAACTCACATGAATTTATTAAAATGTTGAATATCATCCTGAATAAGAAGATGGATGATAGATTTAGGTCAGCACATACAATTTAATTTGTTTAACTTTCTGATAGTCTTAGATTGTATTGAAGCTGCCTACATTTCTAACATTAAAGAGAGAGAAAGAGCACTGTTTTATTATTAGGAAAAAATAGAATTTTACTTAAAGATTTGGGGAAGAAGAAAGAAAATTGCAACAAAAAGTTCAGTGGTCCCTTTGAACACTGGTGAGTTAAGTAGAATCAGAACTTTGCAAGGTAAAATACAACCTGGTAACTTGTTAGTGATCACAGACCACCTTAGAAGATAGACAGTTTAGTTATATGTTAGGTGACTTTTAAACATTATTTTGTAACTGAAAGAGGTTGTCAGAATTAAAAGGACCCTTAATCCTTTGCTCTGTGCCCCCTCACCAAAGCCAGATGAAAAAATTTCCCTGCATAAGTGTAGCATACATAAAGGATCTGCATTTTATATGAGGGGATAAGTTCCTGAGGATCATTATAATTTAAGACTAATTTTCCAAAATAAAGAAATATTTAAAAAATGGGGGAGGGTATATTCTTGGAGCATAGAAATTTATAATTTTAGTCTTACATTTTTCTATAATGATATTCTATATTTTCTCAAAAGTGTCTGATGTTTTACAGAATGCTTTCCTTTAATGTCATACTAGACTATATAATTTTAGGTCATTGTTAGCTCTCCTCATTACATGCCATTTTAAATCCAAGTTATCAAGTTTCCGACTGTTCTTTAGTATTTTTACTAGTTTCATAGGTACCCATTGACAAACTCAATGATGTAGTGATAGGATATAAAAGTCCATAAAAATACAAAAATAGGGAATGTTGGAATAGCAGTGCATTAGTAACAGAAATCTCTAAAACATCCACTGTATTTAAATAGCATGGTTCATCAAATATAAAGAGGTTTGGTTCTATTTCTATCTCTCAGTGAAAGTGAAGGTGCTATGTGGCTAGTTTACAATAAATCTAACTGGTAGCTTTAAATTTTTGCCACTTTTGAATTTTTTATTTTAATTTGGAAGGTTATTGTTTCAAGTTTGTACTTAGAATAGTTCTTTATTAATATATTGCCACAGTCTGGCTGGGCACAAATGCCGCAGTCTGGCTGGGCACACAATCACCACCACACAGCTTGTAGATTCAAACAGCAACTCTTTATTCCCGAACTCACACCAGCCGTCTACAATCACATTCTGGGGAAATCCACGTTCTCTGCCCAAATCCACGTTCTCTGCCCAAATCCCCGTTCTCTGCCCAAATTCACCTCCACTGGGCTTCTATCTCCAAAATATACTGTCTGAATCCCGTGAGAACTCAAGGGGAACTCAGGCAGCAGGATACGCCCTATTCTCAGCAGGAATAATCTTAAACCTTAAACCTGGAACCTAAACTGGGAACGCCCTAAACAAGATTATCTTAAAACCGGGAACACCCTAATCTGCCTTGGTCCTTGAGCAAGGTCACTTACATTCAATGTCACTGCAACATGTCAGCAACATGGGGTACGCTGGCAAGGAAATTGTCATACTTACTTGGCTAATGGCTCCCAGCAATATATTATATTATATAGATATCATTTAAGTTTACCTAAAACATTACAGCAATATGCTAAGACAACAATGATCTCAGAAATAGTAACAATAACTTTTAATTACTGACTAACAGTAACTTGTTTGGAAATCAACTAAGATTAGAATGTGTTTCAATTTCCTGGAATTAGGCAGAAAGATGATTATTTGCTCGTTTTCACAAATCAAGCTAATAAAATATTCTTAAAAACAGCTTCAAGTTTTTTCATTGAATCCTATGCCAGTACACAAAAAGATTTTAGTGTTCAAGTATTAACAAGTGTAAGACAACTATTAATATATGTAGGACTGTGTATTTCAAATGAAAAGAATGTAGGCTATCCTTGGGGTTCCTTGGTCACAAGAACTTTCTTCCCAGTTTCCTAAAAATATTTAATGGAAGTATTTAATGGTAGTATCTAATGGAAGAAGATGATATAAACATGTGGCATGTGTCAATTTAACACTCCATGGAAATCTGTTCTTTTACAGTGATCTAACCTTTTAGATTCTTTATTAGGAAAAATGGGAGGAAAAAAAAGGAAAACAAAAGAGTTGTGAACTAGTTCTTCCCTGCTGTTGTTACTAAAGAATCTGGAAAAGAAAGAAAAGAAAAAAAAATCATAATCTTGCCCTGGAACGTGATGGAGGTAATGAGGTGTCTAGGCGACTTGCTGCTGAAAACGTAATTGGCACATAAACACGGAGACAGTGATGGGGAAGACTTCTTTGTTTCAGAAACGGAGGGATGCCAACATATTATAACTCTTCTGTGTTTGGAATGGCAATTCTAGAGTCAAATGGATGTCCCCCCCCCCAATCATGTACCCTTAGAAGAAAGGAATTACTGAGGTATTTGCTAGCTTAGCAGCTCTAAGTTTTTCCGCTAAGTGAATGAATGATGCCAAAGGAAGAGCACAGGAAGAGAAGGCAGGCTTCTTGACAACGAAGGGCAACGTAGATATTAAGATACCATACACATGATAGAGAAAGACCAAGACCCTAAGAGACCCAAGTGGACTTCCCAGATAACAAAGAGAGCTCATTTGTGAGAGAAAAATAGGATAACAATCATCCCTAGCACAGTCCCTTTTGATGACAAGCAACTGCATATTTTTAAATTTAATTTTTAATTTTTTTTTTGAGGAGAAAGAAATAAAAATAAAAGAAAAAAAATAAAAAAGAAATTAAAAAAACACATCTTTTTTTACTCTGGAACTCTCTTTTGCTGTTTTAATAGGAAAGTCAGTGTGGGAAGGAATTTTTGAACTTTCTTTGGTTTTCTTTACAATGTTCTGTTTGTTTTAAGTGCTCAGCTAGCATACAGTTTCAGATTTGGAGTTTTAGAATTATTTTTTTGGAAACCTTTCTTCTTTCCTTTCAAACATTTTGAGTCAGCATGCATTATGCCACTATGCACACAGCCAAGCAATAATTCATCTTCGTGGAAGTCAGAGACATCTCATGTATTAATTAGAAAGCCTTTCAGTAACTGGTGGGTAGAAACAGGTTCCAACTGCTACTAAAACACAGCCAGGGATTTCCAGGAAGGGAACAGAAAGGCAGATACGAGGAATTTCTTACCGGATCGGTGTCCAGCCAATGAATGAACTTTGCTTTCATCTGGCACTGAGGAGAAAAAAGTAAAAGAGACAAGGATTAGACCTGCTTGTAAATTAGGCATTTTACAAACAATAAATTAATAGAAAATCATAATAAGTTAAATCTTTTACTGGCAAAGATTTCAGAAGATTTCCCTTCCAGCCTACCCTGGGGTACATCATTTTTATTGACAGACATTTGAAAAACAGCTATGAAGAAATATGTTTATTAGATATTCTATGAATATGACATCATTCTTAAAGACTTCCAATACTTTCAGTTCTTTTAGCTGGGTTGTTGCTTCCATGACCATAAGAGGAGAAACTAAATTCAAACAAAGCTCTCTGAGCATAAAAGCAATGTATGTATTATCTAATACTCAAGGGTTGGACCTGTGTATCTGGTCAAAATGGAGGAAAAGAGAAAAGATTTATAATCCCCTAGAAATAGTTAAAAACTAGACAAAACATGAAATCATGGCATTTGTCTGATGAGATGTCAGGCAATAAAGGACAGCAACTCCTAAGAGATGGAAAACAAATGGGGTGAACCCTACAAGTGCCCCAGCTTGCTTCTAGAGAAGGTTTCCAGATGGTGGTGCAGGGAGGGGGACACTGAGGCAGAATCCAGTGATTTCTTTCTTCTTTAGCTTGAGGACATGGTGCAGATGTCCAGGGATGCCAGTGCAGATGGAATGTCCAGGACAGAGAAGCAGAGAGAAGAGAATCACCCAGATTTCTCTCTAAATCTTCAGAGAATTCCTTCCTGGATTTAGCCGAATACTGATGATCCCTTGTGCATGAGACAAGAACCCCAAGAGCTCAAAGAATCTGTCCCAAATGGAAAGGAAGCAGCCTGAAGTCCATGCAGAACAGGGAACAGTGCCTATTCCCAATGGCTAGAGTGGAAAGCTTCATAATTCAGGGGTGTCAGTTAGAATATGAAGATGGGTTTTGCCTCAATAGGAGGAAAATTAATCCCCAATTAACATAGCTCAGATGAAATGGATAAGCTTTTGAAAGGTCTAGATTACCAAAGCTTATAAAGGAAGAAATAAATGTATGCATAGCCTGATAACTAATTTTAAAAATGAGTTTGTAATTAAAACTTCTCCAAAAAACAAACAACCACAAACCATCTAGACTGAAATGGCTTCACTGCTGAATTCTATTGAACATGTAAGGAAGAAATAATACTGACTCTACAGAAATCCTACAAAAAAGTTTAAAGGAGGGAACATTTCCAACCTATCCCATAGAGCTAGTATTAAATGTACTAATATCAGAAAAAGACATCATATAAAAACCACTAGATAATATTCCTCATAAACATAGAGGCAAAGTCCTTAGTCATTTAGCAGCTTTGCATGGATCGCCACTTCAATGTTTGACAACAGCTGTTTATTTGTTCACCGTGCACCACTATGCTAGTCTATGAAATTCTTGTGTGCAAAGGTGGATAAAAAAGTGAGGGGAAGTTTCCTAACAAGGAGAACAGCTTCCATTTTTCCTAACTAGACTGGTATCAGAGTAACATGTGTCCCTTTTTTCTATCCACCATATCATTCATAATATTTAATTGACACAGTCACCATATGTTATGGTTTAGATATTAAGTGTCCCCCAAATGCTCATGTGTCTGTCAGTGCAAGTGGGTTTAGAGAAGGAATGATTGGGTTATGAGAGCCTTAACCAAAATTAGTAAATTAATCCCCTAATGGGATTGAGTGGTAACAGAAGGTGGGTAGGGTGTGGCTAGAGGAGGTAGGTCTTTGGGGACATGCTTTTGGGATATATACAGTGTCTGGCAAGGGGAATCTTTCTCTCTACTTCCTATCATCATGTGAGCCAATTTTCTTTGCCATACTCTTCCACCATGATGTATGGCCTTACCTTTAGCCCCGAGGAATAGAGCCAACTGTCTATGGACTGAGACCTCTAAAAACCATGAGCCCCACAAAAAACTTTTCCTCCTCTACAATTATTCTGGTCAGGCATTTTGTCATAGTAGCAAAAAAGCTGGTTAAAACACCATATATAATCTTCCCCCTCCCCCATCCCTCCTTTACTTCTTTAATTTCTAGAAAAATCATGTATCTATGATTATCCAGTTCTTAACTGCTTAAACTCCTGTCTGACTTCTTGTTTTATTTCCATTTGGGAAGTAGGTCAGAGGTATTTTTGAGGTGCTGATGGTGAGCCAAATTCTTCCCTCCCCATGCTTAAAAACCCAGTGGAACCCATATTATAAGGAGAAAAATATTGGAAATCAATGATAATAAGGATTAAAAATAACAATAGCAACTATATTTGTTGAACACTTATAGATTCTGTCCTATGTACTTTATATCTACTAATTAATTTGACTCTCACAATGACTGGAAAGATAAGTATTTTTATCCATATATTACAGATAAAGAAACTGACACACACCTCATGAGTGGAGGAGACAGAGATTAAATGGTACTGTTAACTACACCATTATACATTGATACCAATCAGACAAAGATTTCTAAGAAATTTTAACAATGATCAGCAGCATGAATTAAACATAAGGAAACAAACACCTATATGCTAGAAAACTCTCAGCTTTTTTATTTGAATATATGCTATTAATAGAAATCTTTTTGTAATGATAAATATCAACAAGTGTTAACCATCAGTTTATCAAATTAAAAATATAAATTGTTTATTCCCATTTTATAGATGAGGAATCATATTCTTAAATTAAGAACCTGGCATAGAAACTCACTAGTTTTAGGCAGTTATTGTAAAAGTCTTAATGGTATTTTTCACAAGTGTTTTAAAATTATTTTAATTTTCTGCGCTTCAGTCTCATTGTACATAACATAAGGAAAATGTTTCTTAGTCCATAGGTTTGTGGTGAAGATGAAATGTTTAAGTATATGTGAGGCATTTAGAAAGATCACACTATAGCACTTAATAATTATTAGCCACTATCATCACTAATGAGAAACTAGATAGAAAGGCAGAACAACATGGTAGCTGATAATGAGATGCATATGGGTTGAGTATCAGCACTGCCAGGCAAGGTATTAAGCTCTTTTAACCTCAGTTTGCCCATGTGAGGCATGAGGATACAAACAATATATAGTGAGTTGTGGGAACCAAATAAAAACAACTGTGCAAAAGTACTCAGCATAGAGAGCCAGGTGTGCAATTGTCAACACGTGAAAACATTTGCTAATGGAAGCCGTGTGAGGGGTAAGGGAATAAATCTGATGATGGCGGTGGTGTTCAAGATTTCACCTGCTCGGGATCATAAAGAAATAGAGAGTGAATAATTGAGAACATACTGTTTTAGTCAAATTTTGAACTGCCAGCCAAAAGACCTGACGAAACCACTTAGAGGAGGGGAGACTTATTTGGGGCTCAAAGTTTCAGAGGTTCCTCAGTCCATAGACTGCTGACTCCATTGCTCTGGGCCTAAGATGAAAGAAACAGCATATATCATGGGCCAAGCCCCAGCAGAGAAAAACTGCTCACCTTATGCTAGGTTCAGGAAGCAGAGAGGTGTGGGGGAGGGCTGCAGGGCAGGCCCCCAGTGACCCACCTCCTCTCGCCATGCTCCTGCCTGCAGTTACCACCCAGGCCATTTAACCTAGGATGGGCTGATTAGGTTACAGCTTTCATAATCCAATTATTTCACCACACCATTCCTGCATTAACAGAAGTTTGGGGGCGGACAACTCACTTCCAAACCATAACATTATGCATGAGGTAAATTTAGGTGTTATCTCATGAATAACGGAACACCCACAGCAGGTACTACCTCCAAGTTTACCTGGCCAATTCATCTTATGGTGGCAGAAAGGCAAAGAAAAACACTGTAGAGCCCATGGTCTTATTACATATAGTTAATCTGAAAAAAGGGGTTTGTATAAAATTAATGCTTTTGATATTGTTCAATTTTTGTCTTTTTTTTTCCTTTTTAATCTTAGCTGCTTTAAGTACTGAAAATCCCCAGCAACACTAGATGTTACAAGGAACTTCTTAACTTTTTGGCTGAATAATGCCTATTATTCCTAGTAGGAATGCTTATCATTATTTTAATTGACAATTTGAAATTCTTTAGATCCCTAAAATAAACTATTTTTAAAAACAGTGTGGAAAATCCAAATGGGTGATAGGCATAAAAATTGAGGGTCTTTCTCCAAAATATTCACTGACACAGATGTCTATCTTTAGGACGGAAGATAAGTGAATAAACATAATAGAAATGAGAGGGAACTGTAACGACTTAATTAACAGAATACATTTTATTTAAAAGGTTAAATTTAGAACAATCATCTTTTATACACATGCTTAGTTCTGGGAAGCAATTTAAATAACAGTAGCAAATGATAAAATGAGGTAAAATTACACACACCACCAAGTTGTTGTTTTTTTTTTAAATGGCAAGTGTTATAATTAATACCCAACTTCCTTTATAACCCACATCACCTTAGAGCTACTATTAATGCTCTCTCTCGGGGCTGGCACTTAAGGGTAGTAGTTGCACTGTGCAGAGAGCTCAGTGACTCGAGTGGCAGCAGTAAGAATGATGGCAGTGGGTCATTTTAAATAAAGGACTTCTTTACAAGAAATTGAAAAATGAGTGGGCCTGGTGGGGGAAAGGGCTTCCATTCCAAAAGAGGAAAGTACCCTAAGCATCAAGTAATGGGTTGTTGATGGAGAAAGAGCTTGAAATTTAATTCTGATTCTGATGACAATTTTTTCTCCTTCCCTCCCTTTCCTCCTTCTTTCTCATATTCATTCTCCCTCGCCCCCCCCACCCCGTTACTAGAGCTTATTACATTTCCTTTGAGTCCATCAGTTTTACCCCAAAACTAGTACTACTTGCTTTTGATTATCTTAAAGGAATATTACTGTAATTGAAGAGATATCATTGAAATGATGAGTTTTCTGAAGATACAATTCATAAGCATTTTTATTACGATTGTTTTCATTATAACCATTATTAAACACTTACAGGGCACCATGAAATCACCCCTTTTGAGGTGTCTC